TCAGGAGGCAGAGGTTGCAGTAAGCCGAGATGGCACCACCCACTCCAGCCTGGGTGACACAGTGAGACCCTGTCTCAAAAAAAAAAAAAAAGAAAAGAAATGGTGAAAATAATATTTATAGTATACCTACCTCATAGGGTTGGTAAAGATAAAATGAATGAATATACACAAACATACATAACATATCCATAAAATATACATAAAATATTTGAATACAATCCTGGCACATAATAGGTGTTTAATATCTTTGTGAAGTTATTGTAAGGATAAAATTTGCTCATTGATATTAGTGCTTAGAACATAGTAAGGTCGGGCACTCTGTGGCTCACACCTGTAATCCCAGAACTTTAGGAGGCTGAGGCAGGTGGATCACCTGAGGTCAGGAGTTCGAGACCAACCTGGCCAGCATGGCGAAACCCCGTCTCTACTAAAAATACAAAATTAGCCGGGTGTGGTAGTGGGCGCCTGTAATCTCAGCACTTTGGGAGTCCAAGGTTGGTAGGATCACTGGAGCCCAGGTATTCGAGACCAGCCTGGCTAGCATAGTGAAACCCCATCTCTACTAAAAATACGAAAAATTAGCTGGGCGTGGTGGCAGGCACCTGTAACCCCAGCTACTCGGGAGGCTGAGGCAGGAGAATTGCTTGAACCTGGGAGGCGGAGGTTGCAGTGAGCTGAGATCGCACCACTGAACTCCAGCCCAGGGGACAATACGAGACTCCATCTCAAAAAAAAAAAAAAAAGATAGAGCTGGGCGTAGTGGTGCACACCTGTAGTCCCAGCTACTTGGGAGACTGAGGTGAGAGAAACTCTTGAGCCTGGGAGGTCGAGGCTGCAGTGAGCCATGATTGCACCACTGCACTCCAGCCTGGGCAACAAAGCGAGAGTCTGTCTCAAAAAATATGTATATATATATAAAATAGATGCTCAATAAGTAAGTACTCAGTGACAACGAATAGCATCTTCTAACTAGACTGCTAATTCCTGGGCTGTTTTTCCTCCACTGGGCACCCAGCGTGCAACCGCTGAATGAATGATAATTGGGTAGCTGGATGGTAGGAGGGGGCTGATAGTGAGGGATCCATTGGCAGTGGGCAAAAGAGGGCAGTAGGTGAAGGCTAGGCCATGGAAAGGGAAAGCCCCTTTGTTTTCTTCTTCTTTTTCTTTTTTGTTGAGATGGAGTCTCGCTCTGTCGCCCAGGCTGAAGTGTAGTGACACCATCTCCGCTCACTGCAACCTCCGCCTCCCAGGTTCCAGTGATTCTCCAACCTCAGCCTCCTGAGTAGCTGGGACTACAGGCTCGCCACCACACCTGGCTAATTTTTGTATTTTTAGTAGAGATGGGGTTTCACCAGGTTGGCCAGGCTGGTCTCGAACTCCTGACCTCAAATGATCCACCTGCTTGGCCTCCCAAAGTGCTGGGATTACAAGTGTGGGCCACCGCACTGGGAAAAGGCCCTTTGTATGCAGAAGGCAGCCCTCCCTCCTCCATGGGATTTAAGACGCCTTTCCTTCCCTTCCCACACAAGGGCACTACTTCATAGGATTGGAAGAGCTCATTGAGTTTATTTAAGGAATACAAAAGGGACTGGAAGTGTCACTGACATGTATACCCACACACACACACGTACACACATGCACACATCCTAAGCAACATTGCTCCAGAGGTTGGCATCATCTGCTCGAGGTCTTCAGATTTCAGAGTCAGGTGTGGATCTTGGGGACTTGAAGAGATCCAGGCTATGAAGAAGAAACAGTGATGGGGAGGGGTCCAGCAGCCCTCCCCTTGCCCACCAGGCCCTAGGAGCCCTGTTCCCTCTCCCTCCCTGAGAGCCAGCAACCACTGTCATTCGTGCCTATCTCCCTCCCTTCCCCCTTTCCCTAGGGGCAGTCCCAGCTCACCTGGCCACCTGAGGATCACCTGGCACTCCAGGTGCCCATGCGGCCGCCTCCTCCCCAGGCTGGGTCTGGCCCATCGGGATTATCCATGTTCTCATAAGAGTCTGCATCTGGATAGGACCAGGGAGGAGAACACGGGTGGCACTGGAAGTAGGCTGGGAGGCAAAGTCAGCCCAGGGGACAGCAGGGGACAGCGGCAGAAGCACCCACCTTCCTCATGATTGGGTCCAGGCTGGCCCCGAATGGAGCGGAGCTGGGGGGCTGCATACAGGAGCCCTCTCATATCCTCATAGGACTGGGACCCTGCTTGGGCGGGGGATGGAGAATTGGAGGCTAGGGCACGGGAAGTACAGCCTATGGTAAGGAGGAAGAATGAGGGGCAGAGGAAGGTGAGGGGCATCACCTATGCTGCACTGGGAAGGGGTGATTCGGTCAGCATCGGGTTTGGGGCCCCGGTTAGCTGTAGAGTCACGGCTAGATATGGGTTAGATTATGGCTAGAGAAGGGGTCACGAACAGAACTGGTCTGGGCATGGTGGCTCACACCTGTAATCCCGGCACTTAGGGAGGCCGAGGCGGGCAGATCATTAGAGGTAAGGAGTCTGAGACCAGTCTGGCCAACATGGTGAAACCCTGTCTCTACTGAAGATACAAAAATTAGCCAGGTGTGGTGGCAAACATCTGTAATCCCAGCTACTCAGGAGGCTGAGGCATGAGAATCGCTTGAACCTGGGAGGCAGAGGTGGCAACTGCACTACAGCCTGGGCAACAGAGCGAGACTCCAATTCAAAAAAAAAAGAGAAAAAAGAAAAAACTGGAAGGAGTCAGAGTCATGAAGAAGCTGCAGAGTGAGCTGGGGTCCAAGTTGAGGTCTGCACTGAGGGGCTGAAGTGAGGTGGAGGTCAAGTCCAGGTTGATACTGGATCAGGATCGGTGTTGATATTCATAGTTAGGGAGGGGGTAAATATTGGGGGTCAGGATGGAGGATGGGGCTTAGTATTGAGGTGAGAGGAGTCAAATCCAAGGTCAGGATTGGGTTCGGGTTTGGGGTCAAGGTCAGGTCAAAGTTGGGTCTGGTGTCAGAGCTCAGGCCAGGTCACCCAAGCTGGGTAAGGCAGTCTGGTCGAAAGTATCTCTCACCCAGGGAAGTTGCTTCCCGGCTGGGGTCCCAGGCTGACCCATGGGGGCTCAGGAAGTCTGGAAAGGGAAGAGGGAGGTTACTATTCCTCCTGGCCTCCTGGCGTCCTCCACCTCCCCCCTAGACTGTTGCCATCCTCACACACACCCATTGTCCTGGCGACTGGCTGGGTCAGCTCTTCATCCTCATTCTCGTAAGACTCAGCTGTGGCAGAAAAGAGAGAACTCCAGGGACCCCTTCTAGGGGTGTCACAGCGCTGCAATTACACCTAAGTCTCTGAGGTCCCACAAAGGCCCCAAGTTACCGTTAGAGAAAGAGTCTTCATCCTCAGGACCCAGGGGCTCGTCCTCAGGGTTCTCGTAGCCGCTGCCATCTGGTGGAGAAGGAGGGGTGTCCATGGGAGTCCACAGGCCACCGCAGAGAGGCGGGGGACCACGGAGGAGGGCAGCCTTACCCTGGGAGAGCTGGTCCTGCCCAAAGTTGGAGTCGTTCTCATAGAACTCGGAGCCCTCCTCACTGTCGGGCTCCTCATAGCCCTCCCCTTCCTCTTCTTCTGGGCCTAGGGGTTTCGGGATGGGGATGGGGAACCGAGTTACGCCCCCTCTCCTCCAGGCCCCAGTCCACTATTTGGGCCACAGACCGCTCCAACCCCCTCCATGTGGGGAACGACCCTTCCCTCCCCCAATCATTCACCCGCTCCCGGAGGGCTCCGGGACCCCACGGCTCCATCCACCTGGACGTCGCTGCTTGGATTTCCATAAGACGGGGCGGTGCCCCCCAGGCCTGCGGCCCAACGCTGGGCGCGTCCTGGCAAGAGGGGCGGGCGTTGTAAGACGGGGTCAGAAGAGATGGGGGCGGTCAAGGCTAAGGGTCCGCGCGGCGGGGCACGGGGAGAGAATGCTTTGGGCTCTGCGAATGGACTCTGAGTCTAGGCACCTGGCCTTGAACCATAGGGCGGGATCTAAATCTAGGGCCGAGGCCTTCAGTTCTGGGGCGAGGTTCTGCTTCTGATTTGGACTTCAGGCTCTGGGTCCTGGGGGCGTGGCTCTGAGCCCTGGAGGCGGGGCCTTGTTCTAGGAGTGGGGCTCATAGATGGGCGGGACTGCCCTCCCCGGTGGCGGAGTTCCGAGCTCCAGAAGGCATGGCGCACAGCGGATTGGAGGGATGAGGACAGTGTGGGTGGAGCCCTGGATCTGGGGCGGAGCTATAGGCTGGAGGGGCGGTGCCTCTTACCGAGGCCTGAGGTGGGTGTGGGGAGAGATAGCACGTTCCCATACTGGTTCTGGGGCCCGCTTCCTGGGGGAGGCGTCACTTTGAAGAACCTGGCGGGAGAAGGGGAAGTGCACGGTGAGGGCCGACTTGGAATGGAATGGCGGACCCACTCAAGATTCTGTCCAGGCCTTCAGAGGTTAAACGTGATCACTTGTGCTGGGACAGCCAATAGAGGAGTCTGAGATGATCATTTCCAAGGAGGTCTTCACAGAAGAGGTAGCTTTGGAGCTGGGCTTTGAGGTTGGGCAGTATTTGAAACAGTAGAGACGGAGCAAAGAACCCCTGGGCAGAGGAAACAGTAAGTGCAAGGCATAAAGTGAAGGTGGAGGGTGTTACCGAGGGGTGCACTGGTTGCATTACCTCCTGGTGGGGTCAGTCATTCGCTTTCTTTTCCTCCTCAGGACCAGGGCTGGTGGGAGTTAAAGGGAGTGATCAGAGGAGGCGCTGCTTGGCAGGGTGAGGATTTGTGGGGCCAGGTACTGCGGAGGTCACTTGGTTCAACAGAGAAGACAGGAGTTCAAATTGTAAGGGGGCGACTGGGCGGGTGGCTAGTTTGCCTGTAACCCCAACACTTTGGGCGAGGCCGAGGTGTGGCGTGATTCATTTGAAGTCGGAGGAGTTCGAGGACCAGCTGGCCAACATGGGATAACTCGTCTTTACTAAAAAATATAAAAATTAGCCTGGCACGTGTCGTGGTGGCGCCTGTGAATCCTAGCCTACTATGGAGTGGCTGCGAGGCAAGAGAACATCGCTCTGAATCCGCAGGGACGCCGTGGGAGGTTGCAGTGAGCAGAGATCATGCCATTTGCACTCCAACATGGGCAACAGAGCAAAAACTCCATCTCAAAAAAAAAAAAAAAAAAAGTTTGAGGGAGCCAGGCGCCTGTAGCTCACGCCTATATTCCCAGCACTTTAGGAAGATGAGGCCAGGTGAATTGCTAAGCTCAGAGGTTCAAGACCAGCGTGGGCAACGTGGCGAAACCCTTCTCTCACTAAAAAATATAAAAAATGGGCTGGGCGCGGTGGCACACACTTGTAGTCCCAGCTACTCAGGAGGCTGAGCCCAAGAATCACTTGAGCCTGGGAGGCAGAGGTTACAGTGAGCTCAGATTGTGCCACTGCACTCCAGCTGGGGTGACAGAAATGAGACCCTGTCTCAAAAAAAAAAAAAAAAAAAAAAAATG